GACGCCGTCGTTGGCGTTGCCGGCGTATCGTCTAATCACTGCATTCTTCCGAAACGCTCCTCTCTTCCTAGGATTTGTCAGAAACTTCGCACGGACGAGCGGAGCACGCGGACCGCCGCCGCGTTCATAACTGCTTCCAATTAATTATCCAATTAACCGCCGTCTAACGGTAACAACGTTTGTCGTGGTACGAGAGGAATCGCGATGCACTCTATACCGTACGGAAGAGAAAAAAGAAGAGTCACGTTCTTACGTGTAAATGCCTCTCTTAACTCTATGAGCGAAGCAGGTTTTCTCCGGACGGTTCTTTTGAACTGTGGTAATTATCTAACCTTGTTCTCGCGATTAAAAATCTCGAGTCCACGCTCGATGTAAACTGCGCGAGAAACAGCTGGCATGTTTCAACGAGACGGAATACTGAAAAATCGCGGAGAATCATGAAAAAGCACGAATGGTGGAAACAAAATTTTACAGTGAGAGGAACGCGAAAGAAAGCTCGGGAAGACAGGATCTAGTTGGCCCAGAGATACGTAGACTACGTGTTTTATGTATTTATCATGAAAGAAATAGCGGAAACAAAATCGTGAAATCCTTTTAGATATAGATACTTCTTTTCCTGAGTTTCATTAAAATCGATACAATATTACAGATAAAAAATAGAAAAAAAATTCACAAGCAGCCAAGTACATTTTCAGGCGTCTCGACATTCGAAATATCGAATTAAAATACTTCATCATGGGTGAATAAACTTAAGCTATGCGCTATTAGAATGAAGTTTCCTGCGAATGTATGATACACTTGTTTTTTATAGTAAAAGCAATTTTTACTCATAAAATTATTGAAATCAATCATATGGGCAGACGAGATAAAGTTGGTCCATAATTAAGGACCGGCGAGGAAGTGTGGAGACCTCTCGCAAAGATCTTGGAACTACTAATCAAGATAGAGGACAGTTGTCAAGATCGTATCGGGTCTCCTAAATCGTACATCATCAGTTGTACTTGATCTTTTTAAATAGTATGTAAATACTGTTTTAAACAGTTTTTCTTGTAGTATGTGTAAAATCAGATATAATCTGAAAAAAATTTGTTTATACCTCCCATTGTCCATTTATTTTTTATTTTTATCGTTGAATATCGTTCATATTCAACAATAATAAAGAAATCAATGTGGTACGATTTACGAAACCAGTACGATTTCAGCAATTCTCTCCTACATATTTTATGTGGCCTTGTTACTCTAAATTGCTAGTCAACTTACTCTGCCGGGGAAAGATGGCCGCACTGACAATACGTTCGTATTTCGGTAATTGCAGAACAAAATATACGTTTTATAGATTCGTGGACAAAGAAGAAAGTTGTCTATATCATGTATGTATCCAGTCAATCACAACAATTAGTTGTCTAAAAAGTTGAAACTTGAAGATTCTGAAAAGTACCATCTTGCCCTGATTTGCTTCGATTCAAAATCAGCGCAGAACATCCCCTACGAGTCGACTTCTCGCGATTTCGACCTCCTTCCCTATTTTCATTCACCGCGAGTCATTCGCGTCATCCTCACGAGTAAAACGAACGAGCCGAATCCCGTCGTGATGGTACGACTTCGAGATGCAACCCTCTGAACTCGGTTCGGCCGGGGGTACAAGAACGAGGGAGAAGAAGATGCAGAGGAAGACGCGGTGGTCGAAGAAGCACAGGAGGAAGAGACCGCGGCGAAGGAGCGGGGCGGCGACGGAACCTCGTCGTAAATCACCGGCGGTACGGAATATACTGGCAAAAGCGCGATAAATCAGGGATCCCCGGGCACCGAATTAGGAAATTGCCTGCTTAAAAACCGCAATGACGTTAATCCCGGCGTGCCAGCCAGCCGGGCAGAGCGAGCGAGCGAGCTGCCGTTCGGCGCACGTACAGACGGCAATCCGGGAAATAAAACTGATTCGGCCAAGGAGCGATCCCTGGGTGGAATAATGCGGAATAAAATCAACGTAACTCAATCGCGCTTGTCTTTCGAGATCAGCCTCCCCCGTCTTCGCCGCTGATAAATGTTCGATATACACCGACTACCTGTATACGGGAGCAGCTCGTCTGTCTAATTCGCCGTCCGTCACGAGAGTACATTCGGGGGGAAAAAAGGCGATGTACGGGAAAGAGCGTACCGACATACGGCTGGTGTTCAGCTCGCGACTGCGCGACTGACAAAAACTGCGGAAACGTGTTGATTTTCACGTGTGTTTACCTAGCTCCTGAGAAAAAAAAAACAAAATGAATATCTAGGTGGAATTTCTCCTGCACACGTCGGAAGTTGTCGCGGTACTTCTGTTAAAATAACATATCTATGATTTCTCGTAGGTTGAATCTCAGAGTGACGTCCTCGGAGATGACAGTTCTACGAAATTTTATCCCTCGAAATTGCGATTTTCCTAGAATTAAGAAACTTGAAACTAACTAACTAACGAAAGTTGAATTATACGAAATAATTCAAAATGAAAAAATTGTGCGCCTCTATTAGCGTTCCAATGACCCTGATAGAAATTTAATGCAGTTTTCGAGCAGTTATTGGACAGTCATATTAACTTTTGTAACTGAAGAGTAAAACTACTCGGTGTATCAATCAAAATGTAACGTTTTTCTTGCAGTTATCACGCACGAAAAATGTGCAAAATCTGAATCCATTTACTGAACGAAAACATGATAGAAAATGGGCAGAAAATCCCTCAATAAGATAGATAATCAAGTTTGCCGCGCGCACTCATCAAATTGGCGAGTTGAGTCCTAGAATTTCATTTTCTGTGCGTACTTTTTAATTGGAAAATTTTAATGCTAATAAGAGTCATAGGAAATCTTTGGCCCGCATATATCTTCATGTTTTACGTCACATCTGTCACAACCACACAACTGACATATGTCTTGTTACCCATTCTTGTGTTCGTACTATGTCATCAAGTTTTGAGTCTAAACTATCATGACAGTTTTCTTTTGTATTATTATCATCAGAATAATCTGACGCGTTCTTATCGCAATGAAATTCTATGTTCTTAGCATATATCCTGCTTGCCTTTTGTTCACTTTTATTTTTAATCTTGGTATTATCTCTATCACTGGGTTTAAAATTATCAAATATCTTATTCCCTCCAACTTATTTTTTCTTACACCATGTTTTCTACACATTCACTTATTGTTCATTCAATTTTTTTAACAATATAAATAAATATATTTTAAATTTATTCACTACATAATAATATTATAATACGTTTACATTATAAAACAAACGTTATTATAATATACGTTCACATTATAAAACTGAATTAATACTGGTAGTATACTATCTTGGAAAGAATCGGTTCACATACAGTGTACAGTGAACTCTGTCTCAATCACTGAATAAAACCCCACCAAATTCTTGTCCGACTCCTACGCAGTATTTTCACAACTAATGAGAATGCATTAATAACAAACAATAAACAGACGGACGAATGTCCACGCAAGGTTCATTTCTACGTGGGAATCTCTGGAGCGTCATTCGTCGACTATTGGACTATTTCGAGAATTCGAACGTCACGATGCGTGGTCGATAGAGCCCTAGGAGCGATTATCGTCGGGCACTCAATATTGCCAGATTTTCGACGGTCTACCTGACAATTGACTGGAATTAATGGCTAGCCGGTCGCGCGAGCCGGTCGCCAGCCGGTCCCAACTTCCCTTCCGGAATATGAAATGGTGCGCTAATGAGTTTTGCCCCGCGGCGGTAGGGCCTAAACACACATAAACGTAAGCGAGCCGTGCCGATGCAATGCGATGCGATGAGCAGTAAGCATAAGCGATCGGCGGCGACATTATACGACGGCAATCGATTACGACGCGACTGCCGGCGCAAACGCGAGATATCACGACTCGCCGGGCCGAGCCGAACCTGACGGGCACGAATGGACAGACGTTCCGCCTCGGCGCATTAATCAAGTTATTAATTATGTAGTCCTCATGCTAATTGAGCCTGTAATCTGCTCGCGGTGCCGTAAAATATCCATGCCGATTTACGCGGCCCGAGCAGGGTAACAATACGTTATCGTTGTTATTGTCGTCATTCCACCGTGACGTCACATTCCGCTTCCGCCTCGAAATTCCGGCGCTTTCGCTATCTCTCCTCAAGAACGGGAAAGTAGACGGGCTAATAGGAAAAATCGAGGAAAAGTTTCAGATATCGCGATGCTGGAAAATATCTATATCTTAAACTGTCTATATGCTGCTTAGATTCGTATATCTCTTTCTCTCTCTCTTACTTATATGCGTATGAATTGTACGATATAATTGTAATATGCGTAAACTGAAAAACTGAAAATATGCAAGTACCTAGCTCAAAACCGTATAATACAAAAAAATATAATCTCACTCTTATTATAAACTTCTTATATACAAACTTAAGAAGAATCTTTTAAAATTAAAAGGGAAATACTTCAACACCTACAAAAAAGAAGTTGTAATATACTGTTTTCTGTAATCCCATGTTTTAAACGAAAACTTTTGCCAAAAGAGTGTCCCTCTTCTAATGAAGCGGACTATTAATTGGGAATCTAATAGATATTATTTTAACTTTTTTCCTCTTAAATCAAAAGAAATATATTTATTTGAAAAAAATACTTTCTTACGAAAGACGCGACAAGCAAGACTTATACTGTAGATAAAAAACGGAATTTTTCTAATTTTGAGAATATCGTGCTGAAAATATTTTCCTTTTAGTTGTAGAAGAATTTTCTTGAGGGCCATATATAAGAGGATTCCTCTGAAGATGAGATTATATATTTCCTTTTTTAAATATAACTGTCTTATATTTTGCACTTCTCTTTAAGTCGAGTCGTACAAATGAGTTATGTCAGTCGCTTGTACATATCGAGCAGAATGTTAAATATTATTTTACAAAAGACAAAGGAATGTTTCTTCAAAATCGTTACAGAAGAATATCACCTGCTAAATTATTAAACGCGATTACTTATATTTCTGTTTCAGAGGGATACTGGGCAGGAACGCGGAGGAAAGTCGGGAAGACGATAATCAAGAGGAAACCGCGGAAGGATATTCTTAACTTCGGGAAACGAATTTATTCTTCGCGTAACTTCTGCTCCACAGTGGAATTTAGCGAGTAATAGTATCTCGCGCTTCTCGCAATATCACAATAAATAAATATTCCAACACGCCAGGAGTTCTTATCTTACCCGGCAAAGACCGCACGATGCAAAGGCGATAACAACGGGCTTGCTAATCCGCCAATCAAGTTAATTGGAGCACGAACTTCCGCGCTAACAAAAAACGTAGTCGAACGTGTCAGCCTCGGAACATTAATCAAGAACGGGGTGAAAAGATAATATTAACGCGAGCCGGCAACGGTGGCCAACATTAAAGAACCTCGCCTTATTTCCTCGTCTTCAGTGGTGTACTTGAAATTTCAGGACTCTTTGAAAAATCCTGTCTCACTCTTGTTAATGTCAAACATGAACTTCATATTATTTTTAAGTGTCACTAAGATTAGTATAGAGTAAGTACTATTTTAGCATCTGAGATAGTATACGAGAAAAATTCTGAAACCTTTCAAAAAATACTAGCTATAACTATATTTTCTAACAATATATATTCAATTTAAAATTTCTAACAATATATATTCAATTTAAAATATTCATAACAATGTAAGATTTAATTTACAGATCCTACCTCTCTTTGGGAGATTTTTTGTTCTTGATTTCTACCGATTACATAAATAAAAGAACTTGCCATATCCCACGGGCTCTGAAGCTTCCGTTAGTCACGGGTCTTTGTGAGATGAAAAAGGAAATTTTACGATACGTCTTATTAGCTAAAAGAAATACAACATTTTGACGAAATTTGCCTCGCATCAGTCTTCACAATTTTAGGTAGTTAGTTTCGATAAGAAGATAGAAAGAATATGACGTGTATCACTCTAACTCTCACTTTGTGATGTACCAAAATGAAGTAGCTCATCTCTCAGGTACCCGCGACTTGGAAGGTTAGACACGCTTGATCTTTTCCGTCGCTATTTACTCGACGATAGTCGTACGGCCCTGTTCGCTCCCCTTCGCGATCCTTTTCGAATCCTCGGCGGCACCTGCCGTGCAACCTGGGGCACCGTGCTCGGCACGTAAGTATACGAGTAAGTATACACTCGGTCCTTGTGCAGGGTGCGTGAGAGGCCGCGGCTACGGTTATTACACGCGTCACGCGGCGTTCCGTGCGATCACGCACCCTCCTCCCTTCCTCTAGGTGGCCCCCGGAGGAGAAGGAGGACGAGGAGGGAAGCTTATCGTCACCCTCTATCTTGTCAGTCGAACGCAGCCCCATTAAGCCACTTACGCGGTGTGTCTTACACGGAGCGCAGTCGCCCGTCGTTCGTCACCGTTCGTTCCGGAACCGGAACTTATCTACGCGCGAACGAAGATGCTACCGGCGATGCAGCTGCGATCGAATCTCACGTCGATACACCAGTCACGCTACTTCCACTTGTCTACCTTGCGTCTGACTCAAACCACGACACACTGAGAGAAAAATATAGTTGTTTTCGGCGTCAACTATATTTCTTTTTTATGATTTTAACCAGAAAAATAATTAGAAGAACCATTTTTCTAATAATACTTATTAAAACAATGGTTTTTCTAACTATTTTTGTGCTTAAAATCGCAAAAGAATTGACGCCAAAGGCAACTATATTTTTCTCTCAGTGCACACGAGACAAAATAGCAGCTCGCTAATAGACTTGGAATACTACACAGCCAAAACATATATCCTTATCCTTAAAAGAATCCTCTTTCACACAACATTCCTAATCACGGGGTGTTTGAAAAGCTTCGGAACGATTTAATATTCCTAATTTAAGAAAGCATCTTACAAAAAGATGTTTTAGACAAAAGTTTTAGGGTTTCAAGGGGGACTTCGGATAATACTTTACTTTTATATTTTTGTACGTAGAATGACGAATAAAATCGATCATTGTAAAAATAAACAGAGAAACCTTAAACGAAATTCCGTTGCATTTTCCAAATCCATTAATATATCAATATACAAAGATGAATATCATCCATCGAGATTTCTCTCGTCATTCTATGATATGTACAAAGATATTTAAGTGAGGTTGTTGAAAAGTGAATATTTTCCAAGATGTTTCATATTTTGTACTGAAAAATATCAGAATAAAGTGTAAAATATCTCAGAAAGTATTCACTTTCTGATGATTATTTATCTCTATACATTTATACACAGAATGACTCTAGAACCGATCTATCTTAGGAAAACCATATGATTCCATTAAAAAAATTCAAATTGAAAAGATCTTAGTATGTCTATCACCAAATCAAGCCAATTGTATTCTCATACGTCCCTCTTGAAGCTTTAAAACTTTTGTCTAAAACATCTTTCTGTAAAATGCTTTTTTTCCAAAATATTAGGCATTCTGCTTGAAGTAAACATATTCCCCTTGATTTAAGAGGAAAAAAGTTAGAATAGTATGTAACAGATTTCCGATGGGACAGTTTACTTCATTAGAAGAGGAACACTTATCTTTTCAGTAAAAGTTCTCGTTTAAAAATATGGGGTTGCAGAAAATAGCACCTTGCAAAGACAGGCACAGCGATATCAACGACTCTTTCGTGGAAGGTAACGGTCGCGGCGCGATTGGCTAAAACAACCGAAATATTTGCGCGCGCACAGATGTGATGATCGATAGATAGGTAAGATTAGGTGAAATATCGTTATTACATCTCCTTTACGCTATGAAGAAAATGACCGTGCACGTAACCCTTTTTTGCCGAGGCGCTCCTCCCTATTATTTGCGCACGGGCGAAAAAAATTAAGACCGCATTAAGAGCGGCACCTGCGTCGTCCTGCAGGCAGCCCCATCGCAACGGCGAGATACAAATCGTCGTTTCGAGTCAAAAAGAGAGAGTGCAACTTTTCTACTTCCTTTACTTGGAATTACCTCACCCGCCGGCCACAGAATCTCACACGAAACTCGTATGATCGTAGAACATCTGAGTCAAAATTTTGATGCTATTTTGACACTCTTAAAAATAGTTTGCGTCTACTTAGATGGTTTATAGCTTAGGTAAAACTTACTTTGACGATATTGATACTCATTAACTTCTCTTTTGAACCTTTAACTCTACACGGAAAAAAAGATTTGGTTGAATTAATCAAATATCTGGTCAAATATGAATGATCCAGAAATTCCGATTAAAGTAACCTAAATTCTGTTTAAATTAACAAGATTTTTGGCAGACTAACCAAACATGTCTGGTTAAATAACCAGACATGTTTGGTTAGTCCGCTAAAAATCTTGTTAACTTAATTGTTAAACAGAATTCGGGTTACTTTAATCGGAATTTCTGGATCGTTCATATTCGACCAGATATTTGGTTAATTCGACCAAATCTTTTTTTTCCGTGTACCTTGTCAAAATTTTGACGCTCTTAAAAATAGTTTGAACCTACTTAGATAATCTGCAACTTAGGTAAAGCCTATTTTGACGATATTGACACTCATTTCCGAGTCAAAATTTTGACCCTATGTTGAGAACTTTGAATTCTATAAAATACATATATTTTATGTAGAAGCTAAAGCTTCAATAGAGGTTCGCAACTGAATCTAAGAACCTACTATTATACAACCTACTTTAACGCTAAAGAAAGCGAAAGCGGAAATTTCAGACATCATCAGGATCAACGTAGAAGTAAATTATATCGTTAGAATTAAACCTACTTTGCTATTTTAGCTCCTACTGCGGTGTAGAATTCAAGGTTCAACATATGGTTAAAATTTCAACTCAAAAATGAGTGTCAATATCGTCAAAATAGGTTTCACCTAGGCTGTAGATTATTTAAGTAAACTCAAACTATTTTTAAGAGCGTCAAAATTTTGACAAGGTAGTGTTAAAGGTTCAAAAGAGAAGTTAATGAGTATTAATATCGTCAAAGTAGGTTTTACCTAGGCTATAAACCGTCTAAGTAGACGCAAACTATCTTTAAGAGCGTCAAAGTAGCATCAAAATTTCGACTCGGGAGCAGTCTATGTTCAGCAGCGATTTATGTTCAAAAGCAACTGTTGAGAATTTTGTGTAACCGAGAAATAGATCGACATATTCTGCAGTAATTCATTATCCTTTTATCTCACATGTGCTATTTATATGTATATTAGAAACTGAAATGTGTTACTAAAAAATTTGCCATGTTTCTAGCGAAATTTATTATTTCTGCAGAGAGAGTTTGCAAGAGAGACCTTACTGATCCTCTCTATTCTTGCACTACTAGAAACATAGTAAAATTGAATATAATTTATATGAAGAAAAAATTATAATACATTCTCTCCGTGCAAAAATTTCTTGTATATGTTGTCTAGGAACAAACTTTTCATCGCTTTTCCTTTACTTGCAAATTTTATCCTCGGATTTAGGAAAATGTGAATACAAAAAGAATGAGATAAAAAAGATATGTACTTTGTCCTCCTTCATCAACACGGGTTTCTCCTGAATCAAAAATTCTTCGCGAATCAGGAAAGCGACCGTATAAAAGAGAGAAATCAACGACTTGTAGGATTTTTTACGATTTTCCATATCTCACCGGTCTTTTCGCGGAGACCTGCCGATCCGTTCTTCTTACTACAGTATCACGACTCAGACGATCGCCGATGATCGTTGGACGAGCCTTACGAAAAAGTGTGGTATCTTCCGAATGTATTCCCACTTAGATCTCTCGTGGGTCTAAATAAACTCGCCCGGTCGAATTCCCGAGCGGTAGCTCGCGGCGCGAGCAATTCCGTCGAACGGCGGAAGCCGTCGTCGATATCAAAAACGGACGGCGGAGAACGGTCGAGCGAACGATTTCCAGCGTCTATCGGGCAGATGAAACGGGCGGGGCGCGAGGAGGTCACGGCGCGACCCGGGAAATTTCCTCGACCGGGAAAAAGAAGATGGGCGATCCGTGGAACGGAGAGCGGAACGGACGCGATATAGTCGCCGATGGATTATATATATATATATACACACATACATACATACGTACATACGTATATACGTACATACGCCTCTTTGATATAGTGCGCGAAAGCGTAGCGTCTTGAGGAGGCGGAAGGCGGAGAAGAACCGCCGCCGTTATCAGCTCGCGGCGGGATTGGCCGAGCAGGGGGACGAGACTCCGTCGGCGGCCAATGGCGTCCTGGTCTCGGCTTTTCAAGGATTCTGCCTCTCCCCCGAAATCCCGGGTGTGCCAGCGTGTCCTGTGCACGACACACGCGCGCGCGAGGCGTCCTCCGTCTCTCACGGTGTACACGCTCCGACTTTTCCACCCCGTGCCCACGCACATACATCAAGGCCGCTGCCCACCGGTCAGCGGGGGGTTCACCGTCGACGGTGGATGTCCAACTATTTCGTATATTCCACCCCCTTCCGGCCCCGCGACCTCGTTCGTCCTCGCACCGAAAACCGCCCTCGCTCGCTCTCCGTCCGGATCGTCCACCTCCTTCCTTGCGAGCGTCTCTCCAGGAAGCATCTCCGATCCCCGTACAATGGTCCCAGCTTTTTCCATGCTTTCTGCGACTCCGAGGGTGCTCGTAGGGCAGACAGTGGCGGGGGAAGAAGGGGGAGGGGTATATACGAAAGCGAGGAGACGACCCGTGGCTGCTATTGCGGCGATATCTCGAATAGAAGATATTAACTTGTGCGGGTTTCTTTCGTCTGTATGAAGAAGATTGTCTAATTTTTGTAA